TGATTACAAGGGCACCTGGATTCACCCAGAGATCGACAACCCTGAGTACTCTCCCGATGCCAACATCTATGCTTATGATAATTTTGCAGTGCTGGGCCTGGACCTCTGGCAGGTGAGACAAGCATCCCCCAGAGTGTTAGTCACCTGGGAGGCTGGAGGAAGGGACAAGCCTGGGCTTTGAACCCAAGCAGGTCTCTTGCCAAGATGTCCAAGGTGGTGTGTGTGTGTGTGTGTGTGTGTGTGTGTGTGTGTGTGTGTGTGTGTGTATGTGTATGTGTATGTCTTGCACTGTTTCTTAGTTTTTTGTTTTTTTTCCTGCCAGTCCTGGCCTAGGCACTCCCTGTCCCTGAGCTCCTTTTGCTACAGCTCCACTTCCAGCTTTTTCTGTGATTAATTGGAGATGAATCTCAGACTTTTCTGCACAGGCTGGCTTCAGACAGATCTTCAGATCTGTTTCCTGAGGAGCTAAGTCACTACGTTCTGTTCTTATTTTTGTTTTGTTTTGTTTTTTGTCAGTTGTGGGGCTTCAACTCTGGGCCTGGGCACTGTCCCTGCGCTCTTCAGCACAAGGCTAGTGCTCTACCACTTGAACCATAGCGCCACTTCTGGTTTTCTAGTGGTTTATTGAAGATAAGAGTCTCATGGACATTCCTGCCCAGGTTGGATTTGAACCGAGATCCTCAGATCTCAGCCTCCTTAGTAGCTAGGATTACAGGCGGGAGCCACCAGCACCCGGCTACATTCTGCTTTTGTGTCCCCTCTCCCCTGAACATTTGGAATTGAAATCGGGTCCTTGGGTTTGGTACGTGTTTTCTTTTTTTTCTTTTTTTAATTTAAAAAAATTTTTTTTGTTGGTCATGGGGCTTGAACTTTGGGCCTGGGCGCTGTCCCTCAGCTCTTCAGCTCAAGGCGAGTGCTCTACCACTTGAGCCACAGTGCCACTTCCTGGTACATATTTTCTTCTCAAGTATTTCTTAGTTTTTTTTCTATTCATTCAACCTCCCTTGAGGTTCTCAAAGTACTTTATGCAAATTAGTTCATCAAGCTATTGCCAGTTAGCAGGAACTGGGTTTCTAACAGGCATATTAGGTGCCTAAAAAAGATCTGCGCAATGGGGTGAATCCCCACTTCACAGATGAAGGAGCCTTGTGCAGAAAAGTGAAGTTGGGAGCCCAAGGTCACGTAGGTAGGAAATGGCAGAGCTGGGGTTTGAACCCCAGGAGTGCAGCCCATCTTGTCCTTTGAACATCAATATCAGCACTGTTTATACCCTTATTTTTCCTGAATAGGCAGGCATGTCTTGCTAGATAGCTGAGAGCAGGTCAAAACTCTGGATTCCCTGCTTTATAGCCTCCTGAGGCAACTGAGATTATAACAGTGTGCCACCATCCCCAGCATCTTTTTTTGGGGGGGTTGGTCATGGGACTTGAACTCTGGGCCTGGGTGCTGTCCCTGAGCTCTTTAGCTCAAGGCTAGTGCTGTACCACTTGAGCCACAGCACCACTTCTGGTTTTCTGGTGGTTAATTGGAGATGAGTCTTACACACTTCCCTGCTTTGAACCATGATCCTCGGATCTCAGCCTCCTGAGTAGCTAGGGTGACAAGTATGAGCCACTGGTACCTGGCAGCCAGCATTTTTTTTTTTTTTTTTGCCAGTCCTGGGCTTGATCTCAGGGCCTGGGCACTATCGATGAGCTTCTTTTGCTCAGGGCTAGCCCTCTACTACTTGAGTCATAGCGCCACTTGCAGTTTTTTCTGTGTATGTGGTAGTGAGGAATGGAAGCCAGGGCTTCATGCATGCTAGGCAAGCGCTCTACCACTGAGCCACATACTCAACACCTTGCAGATGCAGCCATTGTAGCAGACAGAAACACAAGCAGGCAGGTGGAGCCCTCTCCAGATCATCTCACCTCCTCTTCTGTTCACCTTCCCCAGGTCAAGTCTGGCACCATCTTTGACAACTTCCTCATCACCAATGATGAGGCATACGCAGAGGAGTTTGGCAATGAGACGTGGGGCGTCACAAAGGTGGGGCTTGTTCCCCCTTGGGGTCGGGGATGGGGCGGGACTGGCAGGCCGGGGGGCCCTGGTGCTGAAGGGACCCAATGTGTTCCCAGGCAGCAGAAAAGCAGATGAAGGACAAACAGGACGAGGAGCAGAGGCTAAAGGAAGAGGAGGAAGACAAGAAGCGCAAGGAGGAGGAAGAAGCAGAGGACAAGGAGGACGAAGATGACAAAGATGAGGATGAAGAGGAGGAGGAGGACAAGGAGGAAGAGGAGGAGGAAGAAGCTGCTGGCCAGGCTAAGGACGAGCTGTAGAGGCCAGGCCACCCGCCTCCAGGGCTGGACTGAGGCCTGAGCGCTCCTGCCGCAGAGCCTGCGCGCCAAATAATGTCTCTATGAGACTACAGAACTTTCTTTTTTCCTAGGCGGGTTCAGATTGGGGGTGGATTTTGGTTTTGTTTCCCCCGCCTAATTTTTTTCATTTTCTCTTTCTTTTTTTTTTTTTTTTTTTTTTTACTGGTGTTTTGTCTTCAATTCTACAGTCCTCACCCCTGGCTCTGGTCACTGTTGATTGACATGTCCCTTCTGGTCCCCTTAGTTATTCCCCTCCAACCCCAGGAACAAAAGTGTGGAGAAGCCACAGGCTTGAGATTCCATCTGCTCTCCTTACAGCCCAGAGGTGGGGGGGGAGGGGAGAAGAGAAAGGGGTGGCCTGTCCGGACCCCCAGCACTGAGGAGGAATGGGGCCTCTTCCCATCCCCTCCTTTCCTGCCCTGCTCCCAGGACTGGGCCACTTGTGGGTGGGGTAACAGGTTCCAACTTGGCTCACACTGAGATTGTAAGAACTACAAACAAAATTTCTATTAAATTAAGTTTTGTGTCTTCCTCCTTTTGAGTCTCCTTCTGCGAGGAGGATGGACAACAGGCAACTAAAGGTAGCAATTTTAGGGGGGCAGCTTTTTCTGCTGCTAAAGAAATTGCTGAGGCCAGCCAGATGCTGGCGCTTCACACCTGTAATCCTAGCTGCAGGGGAAGTGGAAATCAGGAGGATCATGGTAATCTACCAGCCTTCCAAGTGGACCAAGCTAAGCATGGTGACACACCTGTCATCCCAGCTTATGGCTCACACCTACAGTACATTTCTACTCCCTATATCAAAAATAACCAGGGCTGAAAGGGCTCAGTAATGCAAAGCACCTGCTTAGCAAGCACAAGGCCCTTAGTTAAACTCCAGTACAGCAAAAAAGAAAATGGCCAAGTGTTCCCCAAGATGACAAGCCAGCCCAGTGGAAGAAATCCTGTTACAACCTCTACTCTTGCTCCCTGTTTATTTACCTATCCTTGGTACCAGACTGGTGCATCTTGGTAATTGGGTAGGGAACTTAGAAACAGGTGATGGGGTGGGTGGATCCAAGGGCTAGAGATGGGATATGGCTCAGTGAAAAAGACTTGTGCCTGGACACATGTGACTCAGCTCATGTGTTCAGGATACTCAGGCTGAGGAGCCTGGTCCAGAGCCAGCCTGGGCAGAAATGTCCTAAGACTTGGCACTAATTAACCACCTAGAAAGTGGAAGCAGACTCAAGTGGTAGAGTGGCTAGCCTTTAGTCAAAAAGCTCAAGGGCAGTGCCCAGGCCTTGAGAGTTCAATCCCCACTCTTGATACTGTAAATAAAGAGTGGGAATAGAGGTGGAAGGCCTGGACTTGAGGACACTTCTGGGGTTCATGAATCTCTTTGGGGTAGCAGGAGGGGTGGGCAGGAGCTTGTGTCTGAGTTGGTAAAGCCATGAGCCAACCTTAGCACCCTTCTATGCTCTGGGTGAGTGAAGGGAGGACAGACAGGAGCTGGACACACTGGGACAGGTGACTGGTGTCTGCTGGGACATAGGTCATGGTCACTTCAGACTTGGGATGTTGCCATGGTTTCTGTCGGCACCCCACGTTATCTACTAACTGGAATGCAACCAATTCAAGTGGCAACCCACCCTTCCAGGTCCCCCTGCCCTTGGTCTGGCCTCTTGTACTTCATTCTCCCTAGTATGTGTTTGGCCAGGGATGGAGGATATGCATTAAGAGAAAATTAAAAGGAATTCCAAATTCAATAAAGAGGGTTGGGAAGGTGGCTCAGTGGTAGAGCGCTTGCCTTGCATGCCTGAGGCCCTGGGTTCAATTCCTCAGCACCACATAAGCAAAAAGGAAAAAGCCGGAAGTGGTGCTGTGGCTCAAGTGGTAGAGCGCTAGCCTTGAGCTGAAGAGCTGAGGGACAGCGCCCAGGCCCAGAGTTCAGGCCCCACGGCAGGACCCAAACCAACCAAATTCAATATAGAATCCTGCAAAGTTATCATCTTCATACTTTGGGGGTATAGTTTGGGGATAATGGGATTACTGTAGCAGTTGGAAGGGAGCAAGTTGGGTGCTGATGGCTTAATGCTATTCGAAGAGTTAGGTCTTAGGGTCAATGTTTGAGGCCAGCCTGGGCAGGAAAGTTCGTGAAACTAACCACCAGAAAACTTGAAGTGGAGCTGTGGTTCAAGTGGTAATGAGTACAAACCTTAAATTTGAGAATGGGAGGCCCTGAGTTAGAGAGTTTGAGCCCCATCACAAGTGCTGCACCCCCCCACCCCAAGTGAAGACGGATGGGGGTCACAAAATGTGTCACTCCCAAATGGAAAAGATCTCTATTGCTTGACTGTTAGGGATCCGTCTGATTAACCTGTAGTTTCAGGGTTCCTAAAGGTTTTTAGGAAGAAGTACAAGTATCCCGAGCAGGAACATGAAAAGGTAACGTCATAAAGAAAACCTGGATGTAAAAGTGGCGACGCAGGAGCCATTTTGCGGTCAAATGACGTCACCGCTAATAAGCATGGCGTCACTCTCACGAGGCCACGTGACTACTGCCTGCCTAGAGTTTGAAGCCTCCTCCCTCAAGGCAGTGTTTGATCTGCGCATGCTTAGTCCCAACGAGGGCTTGTGCGCATGCTCACAAGGCGCAGAGGTGCGCGCGCAGCTTACCCGGAAGAGCTTGGCGCTTGGCGCGGCCGAGCGCTAAGATGGCGGCGGCGTGAGTTGCATGTTGTGTGAGGATCCCGGGGCCGCCTCGTTGCTCGGGCCCCGTCATGGCCGTCACCATCACGCTCAAAACACTGCAGCAGCAGACCTTCAAGATCCGCATGGAGCCTGATGAGACGGTGCGGGCCGGGCCGGGGCCCGGGGCCGGGGCGGCGGGGAGGCCGGGGCCGGGGTGGGGGGCGGGGAGGCCGGATCCCAACGGGAGGGGCGCGGAGGAGTCGCGGGCCGGGGCTGCCCGCCCCCCGCCCCCCGATCGTCGCCAGCTCGGCCCGGCGGCTCCGGGGCCGCTCCGGGGCAGGTGTCAGGGCGGCCCCGCCCCCGGGCGCCCGGCTCGGGTGTCAGCGCCCTCAGGCTCGGGTTCCCTGCCGGGCGCCGCGCTGCCAGCCCGGCGGGCGGCGCCGCAGCTCCTCGGGGGCCGAACCCGACAGTGAGGACTGAAACGAGATGCGGACCGGGGAGGGGGGACCGGGCGACGATGAGCATGACAATCAGTGTTCTCAATCTGACTAGTTTTGGTGGTCCGTGTGTGGCCCGTTTATTCTTTCCCAGTCAGTGAGCACTGCCATGTCATCTTGCTAAGTCTGCAAGAACAAAAAAGCCAGGCTTGTCATGTGAGGACCCTTCCTTTTACAGATGTGGGGGCCTAAGTGTTAAACTTTGCCACGGTCACAGCAAGTGGGCAGCGAGAGCGTTCCGATTCGTTGTGCTTTCCTCTGACAGCCCCACCTGTGTGTGTGTGTGTCCCAGGGCTTGAACTCAGGGTCTGGGCACTGCCCCCTGAGCTGGGCTTCTTGTGCTCAAGGCTAGCACTCTACCACTTGAGCCACGGTGCCACTTCCGGCGTTTTGGTAGTTGATTGGAGATAAAGAGTTCCACGGAGTTTTCCACTGAGGCTGGTTTCAAACCAAGACCCTCAGATCTTGGCCTCCAGAGTAGGATTTCAAGTGTGAGCTGCAGGCCTGGCTTTTGTTTTGTTTTTGAGACAGTTTCTGTAGGTAGCCCGGGCTGAGATCTGTGGATTTGGGCAAGTGGCTTAATTTACAATATGAGGCCACTGGGACCCATTTGATACAATTACAATGTGTGAAAATATGATACATACACCCTTACAATCTGTAGTAACTTCCCAGTAAATAGAGGTCACTGTTATTATCTGAGGTCAGCTGAGTGGAGAACAATAGGGGGAAATAATGTTTCATTTCTCAACATATTTCCTGTCATCTGAAATACATAGTTGCTTTTTTCCTCCCAGTGTTGCCTACTCCATGACAGCAGTGAGCTTTAGGGCCCATGTGGGTGAATTCAGGGCCACAGTGCCATCCCTTAGTTTTTGCATCCTCCTATAGGAGTCACAGCTCTACTTGTGGCTTTTTGGTGGTTCTTTGGAGGTAGAATCTCAGGGATTTTCTTGCCTGGGCTGGCTTCGAACTGCCATCTTTACATCTCAGCTTCCTGAGTAGCTCAGATGACTGGCATGAGTCACTAGCACCCAGCTGTTGGGTTTTGTGCAATGCCTTGGCCTCTGTACAGGAACTTGAGTGAGCTGAGGTTGCAGCTCATTGGTAGAGTGTTGGCCACTCAGGCCTGGTGGCCCTGGGTTCTGTGCCCAGTGCTCAAGACTAAGGACACAACATAAAACGACCTCACTGAGTCAGAAAATGCTCGGCACATATAGTACAGGCTTATTAGTAAATGCCCTGTCATGAGTACGCTTGACTACAAAGCTCAGCCTCTGTCCTGGGGACTCGCAGCTGGGCTCCCTAGAGCAGAAGTGGGAGAGAAGGGTCAGGGCTTGCTATGAACCTCTCTGCTTGTCTCTCCAGGTAAAGGTCCTGAAGGAGAAGATAGAGGCTGAGAAGGGCCGTGATGCTTTCCCAGTGGCTGGACAGAAACTCATCTATGCCGGCAAGATCCTGAGCGACGATGTTCCCATTAGGGACTACAGAATTGATGAGAAGAACTTTGTGGTCGTCATGGTGACCAAGGTGGGTGGATGGCCTAGAAGGTGGGGAGGAGAGGGGGGTGCTGGCAGAGAGTGCGTGCCCAGGAGAGATTAGCCATGGGCAGGGCGGGGTGGCCATGCGGCGGGATATGGGGGCTTGATAGAGCCTTGCTGACGCCTGTTCTCTTGCTGTCACAGGCCAAAGCTGGCCAGGGTACCTCAGCACCCCCAGAGGTCTCACCCACTGCCGCCCCTCCGGAGTCCTCCACACCCTTCCCGACGGTCCCTGCCTCAGGCATGTCCCAACCCCCACCCACCAGCAGAGAGGACCAGAGCCCATCGGAGGAGTCGGCCACCACGACATCGCCAGAGTCTCTGTCAGGGTAAGGCAGGGGCAGTACCCCCCCACCTTGGGCCCTCTCTCCCCCCACCCCCCCCCAACGGCACCTCCAAAGCACCTCCTGCACCTGGGGGGAGGGGCGAGCCGCCAGAAGCCAGGGTCCGATTTCTCTCTCTTGAATTTGCAGCTCTGTTCCCTCTTCAGGTAGCAGCGGGCGAGAGGAAGACGCGGCGTCCACGCTAGGTGGGTGGGTGGTCCCCAGGGCAGAGGTGACTGGGTGCCCACAGCCATCAGCTGGGGTGGGCCCCGGGAGCTGCTTGGCGCCCATCCCTGGTGACCCAGGCTCCGCCGCTCCCTCCACAGTGACGGGCTCTGAGTACGAGGCGATGCTGGCGGAGATCGTGGCCATGGGCTACGAGCGTGAGCGGGTGGTGGCCGCCCTGAGAGCCAGCTACAACAACCCGCACCGGGCTGTGGAGTATCTGCTCACGGTGAGGGCCTCACCGGGGAGGCGCAGCCTGTGGCAAGGGCCCCTGGGGAGCGGCTGGGAGGGGCGGCGGGTGGGCTTTGAGGGAGGGCGCCTGGGGCCTCCCAGTCTCCTGCCAGGGCAGGCCACCCTGGAGGAGGCCTGGGTACGAATATTAGACCACACCCCTGACAGGGAATTCCGGGGAGCCCCGAGCCTGAACACAGTGCGGTCCAGGAGAGCCCGGTGCCCGAGCCGTCAGCCACAGAAGCAGGTGAGCCATGGGAGGAGGGCATAGGGCATCTGGTGTCTGTGTTCTCAGACCCTGGAAGTCCTGCGTGGTGTCTGACCACACGCGTGCTCCCTCCCGCCAGCTGGGGAGAACCCCCTGGAGTTCCTGCGGGACCAGCCCCAGTTCCAGAACATGCGGCAGGTGATCCAGCAGGACCCAGCGCTGCTGCCCGCCCTGCTCCAGCAGCTGGGCCAGGACAACCCTCAGCTGCTGCAGGTGCGGCCCAGGCAGAGGGGGGTGCTCAAGTGCCGGTTCCCCTTTCCCAAGGATGCCTGGATCGGGGTGTCGGGTGGGTGGCTCTCCTGGGATTCCCCCCCCACACATACACCTCTTCTCCCTGTGGAGGTGTGCTGTCTGGACCCCAGGGAGGCGTGGGGAATTTGATCACAGAATCTTCGAGCTGGGTGTGGGCGTCCTGGGCTCCGCCTCTCACCTGGGTGCCCCAGCAGCCTCCTCTGGGTCCAGCCGCCCACCTCTCATGGCACCTTGGGTGCCTCCACAGGCAGTTCCTGCTCTCGGCTTTCACTTGTACTCCACCCCCCCAGCCACCATCCTCATGGGACAGTCTGCAATCCCGGACCTTTGCGAACACCTGCCATTGTCTGAGCGGGTCTCTGGCTAACTTAATGTCTTAAAAAGTTCTGTTTTTGTTTGCTTGCTTGTTTGGGGCTTGAACTCAGCACCTGGGCGCTGTCTCTGAACTTCTTTGGCTCAAAGCTAGCACTGTACTGCGTGAGCCCCAGTGCCACTTTGAGCTTTTCTGTGTATGTGGTACTGAGGAATCGAACCCAGGGCTTCATGCATGCTAGGCAAGCACTCTGCCACTAAGCCACCTTCCCATCCCTTAAATAGGTTTTTTTGGTTTGTCTTTCAGCTGGTCCTGGGGCTTGAAGTTGGCCTGGGTACTGTCTGTGAGCTTCCTTTTTGCTCAAGTCTGGTGTTTTACCACTCTGCCATTGCCCCACTTCCAGCTTTTTGTTAGTGTATTGGAGTTTCACAGTCTTTCCTGCCCGAGCTGGTTTTGAATCATGATCTTCAAATCTCAGCTTCCTGAGTAGTTAGGATTACAGACATGAGCCACTGGCGCACCTGGCCTAGTAAAATTATTTTTCTTCTTCTCCCTGGTCATGGGGCCTGAACTCAGGGCCTGGGTGCTATCCCTGAGTCCTTACGCTCAAGGCTAGTGCTCTACCACTTTGAGCCACGGAGGCACTTCCGGTTTTCTGGTGTTTCATTGGAGGTAAGAGTCTCATGGACTTTCCTTCCCAGGCTGGCTTCGAACTGTGGTCCTCAAATCTGAGCCTTCTGGGTAGCTAGGATGACAGGCTCGCGCTGCCATAGTGAAGTTTTTTCCCTAAGCTTTTGAGACTCCACAACAGCCTTCTCCCAGACCCCTCCCCTCTCTATCCCAGTTGCTTGAACCATGGCCTGCTGGGGACTACACGGGACCATTGGGACCATTTCCACTTCGCTTCCGCTCCGCCCAGCTCCTCCTCTGACCCAGTTCCCCTGCCCACGGCCCACAGCCTGATTGGAGAGAAAACACTTTTCTTCCACATGAATGTGGTCAGGAGTTGACAGAAACACAGCTGCTTCAGAACCTCCAGGGTCCCAACACACTGCCGTGTGACCTTACAACAGACTCTAGGCGAGGCAGGGGGCGCACACCTGGAGTCCTAATACTTGAGAAGCTGAGGTGGAGGTTGGTGGGTAACAGGCCAGCCTGGGTTGAGAGTGAGACCGCATCTCAAAAACAAGAACAAAGCTGAGTACCAGTGGCTCGCGCCTGTCATCCTAGCTACTCAGGAGGCTGAGATCTAAGGATTGTGGTTCAGAGCCAGCCCAGGGAAGGAAAAAGTCTGTGAGACTCTTATCTCCAATGAACCACCGGAAAACCAGAAGTGTGGTGTGGATCAAAATGGTAGAGTGCTCACCTTGATGATTATTATATATTTTTTTTATCAGTTGTGGGGCTTGAACTCTGGGCATGGGCGCTGTCCCTCAGCTCTTCAGCTCAAGGTGGGTGCTCTACCACTTGAGCCACAGTGCCACTTCTGGCTTTTTTCTGCTTATGTTGTGCTGAGGAATCGAACCCAGGGCCTCATTCATTTGAGGCAAGCACTCTACCACTGAGCCACCTTCCCTTGCCTTGATTAGAAAAGCTCAGGGACAGTGTCTAGGCCCTGACTAAATCCCATGACAGACAAAAATAGTAAAAATAGGTACACTGGGCTGAGGTGCAGCTCTGGTGCTAAAGCCAGCATGAGGCTGTGGGCTCCCAGCTGCCCCATCCAGTCCCATCTTTTCAAGTTTTAACTGTCACCATCTCCACCTTGGCTTTTTTCTTTTTGTCTGTCAGAGGGCTTGAACTCGGCCTGGGCATTGTCCCTAAGCTTTTCTGCTCAAGACTAGAGCTCTACCACTTTGAGCCACAGCTCCACTTCCTATTTTCTGGTGCTTAGTTGGAGATAAGAGTCTCATCGTCTTTTCCTACTCAGGCTGGCATTGAGCCATCATCCTCAGATCTCAGCCTGTTGAGTGGCTAGGATTATAGGCATGAACTATCAATGCCTGGCTTTTTTTTTTCTCTTGGGTGCCTGGGGCTTGAACTCAGCGCCTAGGGGGTGTCTCTCATCTTTTTTACTCAAGGCTAATACTATACCACTTGGGCCACAGCTCCAGTTCTAGCTCTTTTGGTGGTTAATTGGAGATAAGAGAGTCTCAAGGACTTTCCTGCCCAGGCTGGCTTTGAACCTCAGATCTTAGCTTCCTGAGTAACTAGGATTATGGGATTGGTACCCAGTTTACCACCATGACTTTCTGTCCCACTCGAAGCAAGTCCTAGCCCTTCCCTGGCTTCACCCCCTCCCCTTTCTTTGTGTGTGTGCCGTTCTTGCCATCTGAATCTTCTTCCATTTCTCGTTTGTCCACCCCTGGGCCTTTGTGATTGCTGCTTGTTCCACTTGGTAGGAATCCTCCCTCTTCTCTGCAGCCCCTCCCAACCAAGTCCTCAGTGCCTTCCTGCCCACACCTGCTGATGAGTGGTCCGTGGATTTGCCCACAGCCTCTCTGTCCTTGGCACAGGAGCTGGAGCTGTTTCCATGGCTACAGTGCTGTTTAGCTGGATTTTGTTTTTGTGCTAGTATTGGGGCTTGAACTCAGGGCCTGAGCACTGCCCCTTAGCTTTTTTTCCCTCAAGGCTGGCATGCTACCACTTGAGCCAGTTTTGCTTCTGCCTTTTTGCCGGCTAGAGAGAAGAATCTCAGTTGGTAAAGCACTAGCCAATGAGCGAAAGTGTCAGGTACTGACTTCTAGTCCTAGTCTCAGACCAAAAATAAGAAGTCTCAGCATCTTTCTTTTTTCTTTTCTTTTTTTGCCGGTCATGGGGCCTGAACTCTGGATCTGGGCGCTGTCCCTCAGCTCTTCAGCTCAAGGCTAGCGCTCTACCACTGGAGCCACAGCGCCACTTCCAGCTTTTTCTGTTTCTGTGGTGCTGAGGAATCGAACCCAGGGCCTCATGCTTGCAAGGCATGCACTCTACCGCTGAGCTTTCTTGCCCTGGCTGGTTTCATACCTCAATCCTCAGATCTCAGTTTCCTGAGAGGCGGCTGAGTAGCTGGGATGACAGGTGTGGCTCACTGGAATAGCATCTCCTGGGTGTTACCTGATGGGTATAAAAGCAAGGGCTGGGGTGGGGACTCCCGGAGAGGAATCAGGAACTGAGGACCACTTCCCCCACCCCCTCCCACAGCAAATCAGCCGGCACCAGGAGCAGTTCATCCAGATGTTGAACGAACCCCCTGGGGAGCTGGCGGACATCTCAGACGTGGAGGGGGAGGTGGGCGCCATTGGGGAGGAGGCCCCCCAGATGAACTACATCCAGGTGACACCCCAGGAAAAGGAAGCTATCGAGAGGGTAAGAGGCCTGGCTGGGGTTACCCTACTATGGGGCAGCCCCTCCCAACCCCCCCTTCTTGCTCACCCCTGCCCATCTTCCCACAGTTGAAGGCCCTGGGCTTCCCAGAGAGCCTTGTGATCCAGGCCTACTTCGCATGTGAGAAAAACGAGAACCTGGCTGCCAACTTCCTCCTGAGTCAGAACTTTGATGACGAGTGACGCTGGGAGGCCAGCGCCCCCCCCCCCCCCCCAAGGGCAAAAGAGGCCACTTTTGTAAAGACGGGGAGGGGGAGGGGAGGCTGATTCCCTCCCCCCCCCGCGCCACAGAAAGTTTTATAAAAGAAAAGAATATATCTATATATATATTCATGTTTATTTAAGAAGTGGGAGAAAAAAAATCAAAAACTTAAAAAAAAAAACTAAAAAAGACAAAAAGCCAGCCCAGGTTCCCACCCTCCTAGAGGGCACCCCCCTCCCCCCAATCTGAGAGGACCTGGGCCAGACAGCTGTCCCCCAGCCCCCCGGCCCAGCCTGCTCTAAGCTGCTGGCAGGGCCAGGAGGCGACAGATGGACCCGTCTTGGCCTCTGTCCCAGCTCTGTAGCCAGATGGAGAGGCGGCTGCTCGCTTCCCAATCTCCCCCCACACTCCCCCACAAAGTACCCCTGCCCCGCCCTCTGCAGGATGAGGGGAAGCTGGAACCCCGAACTTTGCTCCTCCACCTGGAGTAGCTCAAGTCTTTCCATGGGGGGGGGGGAGCCCCCGAGGCCCAGGCCCCACCCTCCCGGCCTTGGCCTCCCGCCTGGGAACGAAGGATCCTCAGCTCTGGAGGCCAAGGCCGGCTCCACCCCGGAACAGAGCCACGGCTCTGATGAAGGTTTTGAAGTGAATAAAAGTTTTAAAAAACCAGCCCTCACAGTGGTTCGTGCCTGCCGGGGGTTGGCGATGCCAGCTTGCCCAGAGCCGAGGCTGGCTGGCACACGTGACTTGGGAAGGTGGGGAAGGGGAGAGGGCTGGCGAGCCCCTGCAGATGGGGGGCTCCAGCCTGGCCTCGAGGGTTGCTGCTCCCCCCACACAGTCTGCTTTGGCTACACTTCCCCCCTGGTAATTGGCTAATTACTGGAGATTAATGTTGGTAAACAGAAGCCTTCGGCACTGCCATCTGCTCCCCCATTATTTGCCTAGCCATCCCGTGCTCTCCCTCTGAAGCTCCAGCTCTCTGTGGGGCCTCCGTCCCCCGGGTGTTGGGGAAGGAACAGAGAAGCCACAGAGCCCTTTGCTGGGGGGGACCGGGACGGGGACAGGCCTTTATTGAGAAAGCACAGCTCAGGAGCTGGGTGTCCCAGAGGCTGCAACGGTAGCCAAAGCGGCAGCCCGCGCCTCCTGCTTCTGCTTCTGCTTCTGCTCCTTCAGGCGCTTGCGCTCCTGCTTCTCTAGGTCCTGCAGCAGCTCCTGGAAGCGGGCGCTCCTCGGGTCCACGTGATAGCCCAGGCGCTCCTGGGCCTCGGCCTGCAGCCGGGCCTTCCTCTCCTTGTCGGCCTGGGCCTTCTCCCAGCGCTCCCGCTTCTGCCGTCGCCAGTCCTCAATCAGCCGCGGCATCTGGGCCATGCACTCTGCGATGTGCTGCTCCCTGCGGGAGAGGAGGGTGGGGTGAGGGCAGACGGACCCCATCGCCCCACGGCCTCCTCCACAGCCTGCCTCTCCCCACAAGGTAGGCCAAGCCCCAATGACTCCCAGGGGCCACAGCCTTCCACCTGCCATTCATTCTAGACTTCTCTGAGCACCTGCTGTATGCTCCACTCACTGGACACCGGTATGTCCTGAACATTTCACAGAGCACTAACGGTGTGCCAAGGACTTCTTTGAGCACTTACTGTATGCTCTAGACTTGCCCGAGCAACCTACTGTATGCCCAAACATCACTGAAAAACCACTGCATGCTCACAGACTCCTCTGAGCACTAACTGTATGCCTTAGGGTTCTCCAGAGCATGTCCCACAGGCTTTTTGTTTTTTTGCCAGTCAGACCTGGGGCTTGAACTCAGGCCCTGGGCACTGTCCTTGAGCTTTTTGCTCAGGTCTCTACCACTTGAGCCACAGTGCCACTTCCAGCTTTTCTGTTTATGTGACACGGAGGAACCCAGGGCTTCACGCATGTTAAGCAAGCACTCTACCACTAAGCCACGTTCCCAGACCACCCCCAGACTTCTTTGAACACGCAGTGTATACCAGCCCAAATCTAGGCACAGGAGTGAAGGCAAGAAACAGACTGACTCTCCCTTCAGCTCTGTGGGTCTGTGGCTACCTTGCAGCTCCATTTTAAGGATTAGGAACTTGACACTGGAGGAAGCATGCACCCAGGGCCACGGCTTCAGCTCAGGATGAGCAAATCGGGGAGACCCACTCTTTTTTTCTTTGCTAACAGGACTCAGATCCAGGACACCTGACTCCACTTTCCCAGGTCTGCTGTTTCCTTAACTCTAAAAATGCACTTGGTCTCCCAAGGCTGCAGGGAGACAGGGAAAGTAAACTTCCCAGCAACAAAGAACCTGGCCCTTCCAAGGAAGTGCTGTAGGCCACATGACCATGGAAATGTCTCCATTTTCCCCTTAGATTGAATCTCTGACGCCTGCTCTGGATCCCCGACTTCCCCCCCCACCCCACTACCCACACTTCCCATCTCCTCCATCCCACAACAGCCTCCTGGATGTGCCTTAAGGAATGATTCTACCTCAGGACCTTTGCACCCACTGCTCCCTATAGTGGACGTACCCCTAATAATGCTGAGTTATCTAAGGCTCGGCTAGAACATCACCTGCTCAGAGAAGGCATAGAGTTCCTGAACCTCAAAATCCTGACATGCACTCCTCACCCATCCAGTGGCTGTCTGAAACTTGTCTGTTTTGTGAGCCAGTGGCTCACACCTTCCTTTGATCCTACCTACACAGGAGGCTGAGATCTGAGGATCATGGTTAGAAGCCAGACTAGGCAGGTAACTTTGTTTATAACGTTGTTTATAACTTTTTTTTGCTAGGCCCAGGGCTTGAACTCTTGAGCTTTTTCCTCAAGGCTAGCACCACTTGAACCACAGCGCCGCTTCTGGCTTTTTCTGTGTATGTGGTACTGAGGCACTGAACCCAGGGCCTCATGCATGCTAGCCAAACACTACCACGGAGCCACCTTCCCAGCCCTCGTGAGGCTCTTTTTATCTCCAATAAACTACCAAAATGCTAGAAACGGAGCTGTGGCTCAAGCGGTCAATGTCAGCCTTGAGCAAGAAAGCTCAGGGACAGTTCCTAGGCCCTGAGTTCAAGCCGCAGGCCTGGCGCGCGCGCACACACACGCACGCACGCAGGCAAACGCACACATGCACGCACACACACACACACACACACACAGTCTGTCTCGTTCCCCGCCGCATCCTCAGCGCCCCGGCCGTGCACAGACGCGGCCCCCCCGCAGGCGCATG